AAGAACTTCACCTAAATAAACTTCGAGGTAGTGACGCATCAATAGAGAGTTAGAGTTTCTCTCTTTAAAGTTTGTTGAAAAGGATAGGCGCAATGCCATAATAGTAAGCGAGATTGAGGAACTTGAAGACACGTGATACTTATGTGTGTGTTGTTACTGGTATTGTCATATGAAGTCATTTGTTCAAAGCTTTCATGCTTCCTTTAATTTCGACTTTATTTTGTTTGAATTACAATATAGTTAGATTCAAATCGAAAGATATAGAATCCTTACACATAAGTATTGTATATTTTGAATATGAGATTTTATTCAATTTTGAACAAGTGGGGGATTGTTGGAAATATTGTTCAAAGTTAATAAAAAAACGATTGTGGAATGATATGGAATGAAAAACATTCTTGAAGGCCAAATTTTGGCTTATACGACCATATAGGCCAAACTTGGCTGCGATCGCATAGGCCAAGGTATGGGATTTTAATCCTTTCCTTGAAGATAACTATGCGGTCTCATAGTGTTGAACTATGTGATCACATAGAAGAATAAAATGGCCGTTATCTGACCGTTTGATTCAAATTTTGTTGGCTTTTTAGAGAGTTTTTTGGCACCACTTCGTACAGCATTGTTTCAAGACTATATATACGTTGTTTGTGATCAATAAAATTAATTGAAAACATACAAAAAAAAATATAGCTACATTTTGTGAAAATAAATCATTCCAAAACATAGAAATTTATATTTTTTTCTTCATATCAAAAAAAAAAAAAAATTTCTTTAGTCTTCTTGAGTTTTAGAGGATAACACTTATTTTTTGAGTGTTAATCCTTTAAAGACTAATTTAAATCCTACAAACCATTAGCCAAAATCCTTCAAGCATCATTTTCAATTCGAGAGGAGGCATCTTAGGGCCTGTCTGGTAGCACTTTTGGCTACCTAGAAAATTTATTTTTTTTCCGTTTACACAGTTAAGTGGGACCCGGGCTCAGACAAGGCAGCCGAAATGTTGGACTCTTTTACTGCAGAATGACATTTCACCCTTAACATTTAATTCAGTTGTCATGATAAATAGACATTTTTGGTATTTCACGTTTAAAATTTCAAATACTGCCCCCTTCATGGGACCATGTTGAAGTTCCAACGGTCAATTAATTGTTGCTTTCTGGGAGAAAAACTCTCACAGACAGGCCCATAGTTTGAGGATAACGATATCGTGTTCAAACTATCGGTATTTGTTTCACATCCATTTCCTGGTTTGGTGTTTGGTTCGTGGCTTTCATTGGTGATCTTCAATTTTCTGTTTTGGGTTCGTTGCTTTGATCACCATTCCCTTTGGTGGACTTCATACTATTTTCCAACATGGAACCCCTCAATTATAATTTGTTTCGTATCTTGAAGAAATCAATGAGTTTTTCAGAAAAAATAAAATACTTAGAATTAGATCTCCCATATACCAGTAGGATCAACCGTCCAATCATCATGAAGAGTAAAATTAGACGAAGAAGACAACAACTCACCATGACAAATGTGCCCTGTATATATCTTAGAGTGCACATGGAAAAAATCCAATAGGTTTTTGGGTTCCAAGAAATTGAAAAGAGTTATGAGTAGTTTGCTGAGATTGACCTCCTTGCTACATCCCTTCATTAGGGTCTCTAGACTTATTCTCGAGAAATTTCTGTTAAGAATTATAAACTTCAACTTTATTCCAGCGACAATAATCAATTCGAAAAAAGAAAATAAACACTCAAGAACAAGCAAGATTTATAGAGGTTCGTCTCTATGTGAGATTGCACTCTTTCCCGCCGCTTCGATAATTCATAATAATAAAGAAATGGTTTACAAGAGAAAATCGCACGACTATCTTCTCTAGGCTCTCTTTCTCTTTTTCGATGATAATCATAAAGCATACAAATGTCTCCCTATTTATAAGATAAATTAGGGCAAAATTTGGCAAAAAAGTAGGATCGATAATAATTAGGCTGCACAACTTTAACACTTTCTTCCAATAACCTTTTCCATAAAAATGCAAGCAGTCATCTTCAATTGCCTAGAAACTTATGCCCTGTTAGTATTTGTTTCAGATACTGCTGTAGATGTATGGTTTCTACTTCTTGTTGCTAACTTTTCAAGTGAGCTTTCTCTGCAAGTTATTCAGTTGCAGAAAAAAGACTAGACAACGGCTTCAAATGAATCATACAACTCTGAATATTCCTGAACACGTGCCAATAGGAACTCTACTAACTATACTACTTTGATTTTGTTTGTTCGTGTGATTAACTCCACTTCATCCTAGTTTTGTTTGTCATGAGATCACAGAACTTAGACCCTGTTTGGTAGGGATTAAAATCAAAATTTTAGTAAATTTTAATAAAAGTTGTTGAATTGTGTGGTTTAAAAGTTATGGATCCTATGAAATGTGTAGTTAAAATTAATTGTTGGCTTTTACTTGAGATTTTAATTGGATTTTAATTCAAACCAGACAGCGGCTTAGTATGGCATGCACAAGTAGCCGCCTTCATGTTCTTAATATGTGGTATCTGATCTTTATTTTGCATATTATTGAATTAACGACGTAGTATACATTACAAATCTAGATGGACATGAGATGTATAATCTCTGTCTTTGCTTGGTGTGAATGTATCACAATCCTTAATAGTTTTATTCTGTATTTGATTGCGTTCTCCATCCTTATCTCATGTTTCATCCAACCTTTGTGGGAAAATCACATAATGTGACAGCTCCTCACACAAAATTTGATGCAACCACGGGCTAATCTTTTGCAGTGTGTTTATGCTACCAACCGAGAACTGACGTTGCCTAGAAGCACATTTGAGGCAGACCTAATGTAAGTCAATATGACTATCTATAAAATTCTGTGATCAGGAGAGTGGCTAACTGTTGTTCTGCTTCTATTCATTACATCTCATTTTGAAACTATCATGCATCGGCGAGGACTTTAAGCAACACCTACCTGATGAAAGCGTTATTCCAAATATTTCAGGTTTGCATCTGAGACGATGACTGGGATTGGAAGGAAGCAGCCTAATTGAGAGGCTTAGATGAAACAAGTATGAAGATATTCTTTAGCATGTTACAGAACTCAGGATTTTTGGGTTAGAAGTCCTTTGAAATTCAGAAACCTGCCAATTGAACTTCTGAAGAAAAACTCTGTTTACAAGTATATACGGTAATCTTAAATACTTTCATTTCTTCCAAGGTTCTGAGCTGTTTTTGGCTTGAATTAATAATGTTGCAGATTATACAAGCTGCCCTGCTAACATTAATGTACAAAGATTTTAACAAAATCGTCCTCTTTATCACCAGTCCGAAATTTCATATTGCTTTTCTACCCCTTCCCACGATCCTCAACCTTTTTTTTTCTTTTTTAAAAAGATATTTCAGGTCATGAAAGACTACGCTGGACAACAGGCAGTTCCTTAATTCTTGAAATGTTTCTCCACAATGGATTTCTCTTTAGTCCCTCTTTTTCTACTAATAAACTCTGCACCACTGACAACATCCAGAGAACTAACAAGTATCTCAAAGTTCTTCAATTCACAAATCGTCTGGATCTATTTTGGCTTCTGGATCATCATACAGGTTTGAAATTATACACCAAACATACACCTGAGGGATCTTTAGTACGTACTTTTACGTCTTCACGCTGCATTAGATAGCATAAGATGAAAAATCTGAACTTTTTTTCTTTCTTACTGGCTGGTTTTAAGTACAGTCTAATTCACGTTGCCAAACATACCACTGGGATATTATGGCCAATGTCATTTCAAGAATTCTTGGGCAGCCTTTCTAATGAGCAAGTTATACCAGAATGGACGTATTCATCAAATTACTTCCTTTTTTTCCCAAAATCTAATCAAGTAGAGAATTATCTATTACGTACTTCATGTTTTGGCTAGGGTTCAGAGAAATATACGTATTAGGTTCTGCTTACTGGCTGGAAGGATTTACTTGTATCCAATAAATAATTTACCTCCTCTCAATATATAAATCGCAATGCAGTAATTTTTTATTTAAATGCATTTTTCATCTTTGGTCATAAAGCCCCTGATTGGTGTGACGTAAGCCCCTGTTTGGGCTCCATTATTGTAGAATATAAGGAAAGGAATAGTAATTTTTTGAAAAATGTACGATAATAATTAACAAGTTATACCAGAATGGGCTGTAAAAATACTTAAAATTTTGATTATGATAAGAGGCATAGTAAGCTAATTAGTGGTTAATTTTGATGATACGACAGCTTAAAT